AAAAAAAAAAAAACTTTTGCAGCTCCAGCGGCTCCACCGAAACGATGGAAGGCTTGCCAGGCCCCGGGTCCGGGTGCCAGAAGCCTTGGAGAGGTCATGGTCTGCGCCAAGGGCTCCCTTTCTTTGTCTTCGGAGTTGTAGTGGTTTAAGGTCTCTTTTGGGGTTTTGGGGCTTGGGGATTTAGGGTTTGGGGGTGATTTGCGGTTCTCGGAGCTTTTTTTGCTTGACAGCCCTATTCCTCCTGCAGGTCTCTCCCCTCAGTCAGACTGCCTAACAGGCAGAGGTAGACCAGGTAGGCGGAAGGCACAAGGGCACTCACGACCGGAGTCACCACCCTTCACCACCCAGGGGGTCGGGTGTTTTGTTGGTGCCTCAGGATTCCCTAAACCCTAAACCATTGACTCAGGATGAGTTTACTGTCCTCACCTCAAAAATGCGGAGGAAAGCTGGGGCTCGGGCTTCGCTTTAGGCTGACACCGGACACGATGACCTGGCATCGGAGTTTAAGAAAACTGGCAACTATGGAAATCTTGCGGGAACCCTCCGAAAAAAAGGACGCAGCACTTTCGGAAAGCCCCATATAACCCGATGACTCCGAGATTTGGATGAAGAAGCTGGAGCCACCTGGTTCTTGTCACGGATGATTCGGCTGATGATGCCGTGCTTGCCCTTTTCACTGCCATAGAGAACTCGAACGCGATCCCCAACTTTGATGTTCATCTCCTGGGCACAAGCTGCTGTGCAAAGATTCGAGGCTTGCAGCATGCAGAAGCGGATACTCCGTGCGGGAGAGGCACTCTTGCCAAATCCAGCTTGCAAAGCCTTCTGTCGACATCTCTGGGATCGGGGGGTGCTGGCCATTTCGAGGGCTCTTTGCTGACACTGAGGAAAGGTAGCCTGCACCAAAGTCAGAACACATCTGAGAAGACCGAACATTCTCACGTTTTGCTGAGCCCAGCACTGACGATATCTTCTCGCGGTCTCCTCCTGCCGAAGGCGTCAAAGCGATCACGGTGGACACTAAACCATGAAGTCCAGACTCCAGAAGAGGAAAGCAAAGAGCATGACACGTCACATCGGACGAACCGTAGTGAGCCGCACTGCCGACTCCGCTCCTGTCGGATACGCTGGTAGAATGGAATGATGCCACCTCGCTCTGCTCAAGCTGAAAGTCTCACATGGCTCAACGGCTACTTGACGTTTGGCTCGTTGGGGGAAGGGGGGGGGGGGAGGCAACTCTTGTGTTTCAGGGCCAGCAACGCCAGATTCCAGATGCTGATTTGAAGTCAACTCTTTTGGAGGCCCATGCAGGCTCCGGTTTTCAGCCCTTCAGTGTGTCAGGTGTGCCTCGTACCTGGGCCTGGTACTGGGAGCAATCGTGAGTTTCCGTCGAGGAAGCCATTAACCCTACAGGCCTCGGGTTTAGGGTTTAGGGTTTAGTATACCAACTGCGGTAACACACAGCCATCAACCACCCTGCGAAACCTAGAAATGAGCCCCAGCAGGCATGCAAGCAGTCCGTGTCTTCCACCGCTTGGGTGCATAGGGTTTAGAGGGGTTTAGGGTTTACGGTTTAGGGCTGTCATGGTGTAAAGTGTAAACAGAATCAAAGGTTGCTCTTGAAGTTGTCAGTGTCAGCAAGTGCTGCCGAGGAACCTTTGATTCGCGGCTTCAAGTGCTTCGCGTTCGCGCAGCATATCAATGAGCGAAACATAGCTGCAGTCTGACAGTCTGACAAGCAAATCCGCCGGCCTAAATGTCGTTGGTGTGATGAGACAAAATGAAGAGTGAAGACATTCACGCGGAATTGGCTGTAAGCTCGAGCCTGTACTGTTGACAGGGGGAATATAATTGGTGCTCAAGTTCTGCTGCATCTTCAACCCCGCAGACTCCCAAACGAGGCGGTTTTCAAGCAAAGTTCTGCGGAGCTCCTCTGGCGGATTAGAGAGTCTCCTGTACATGGAAATCTCACGGTCAAACTCCACGAAGGTCCTTGGCCTTGCTACTTCTCTCAGCAAGGACACGTTGCTTAGCTGCTTGATGCGAGAGCGCTCTGCTCTCATCTCCCGCATGGACTGCTGCCGGAAAGCCTCCTCGTCATCTTCCCTCCGAGCGTGTGCAGCAGCAGACCTCCTCCCTGCCCAAGCAAAGAGCTCAGAATGAGAGAAGGGCCCATGCCCCTTGGGAGGCTCCTGCATCAAGAGTTGCAAGGTCTGAGACTGGCACAAGCTGAGCTTTGCAGTGACTTTGCTGCGGCCAGGGCCAGATCTGTAAGGTGATGTCGGGGACGTTGGGCTCACCGGGCTCGTTGGGCTTGCCGGGGTTCTTGGGCTTTTTGGGGAGGTGGGAGAGCAAATGGCGGAGGGAGGTCTTCGAGCTGGTGAAAGGACTTTCTCGAAGAACTTCGGAGAGTCGGCAGAGCCCGGGTCGGTGCCTCCGAAAGCATCGTAGGTCAAGGGAAACTCGTAGATTGCTGGGTCAACATGACCCTTGCCCTTCAACATTGAAACCTCCACCATGTCCCATCCGAGTACTGTCTCACAATCCTGAAACGCGACCAGGCTGGATGTGCGGCCTGCCAGAACTTTGCTGACTTTTAAATTGAAGTTTATTAATTCGTGG